GTCTCTTTTTCTCTTTTAATTTCTCAGTAACTAAAATTATGTCTCTATCTTCATGCTTAAGAACATTTTTCTATGTTTTTTTCCTTTACTGCTAGAGGTTTGACTTTTTTAGTAGTCTTTTTAAAGATACAGATTTTGGCTAAGTTAAGACTCTCTATTATGTAGTAAAATTCTACTCCATTATTTCTGCTCTTAATTCCTTTTTTATGTCCTATACGTTTATTATGTCGTTGTATTCTATCTTATTAAAGTTATATGTTTGCCTCACTAACTTTCAGCTATAAAAAAAAAGTTCAAATATAAACTCTTAACACTATAAATTACCTTTGAAATACTGCTTTAAGTGTATCCCACAAGTTTTCTAAATAGTATTATCACTGTTTCATGCTAATTATCTTTTAATTACAATTATGATATCCTATTTAACTGAGTTAAGTGAGTTTTTAAAAATATCTAAAATATGGGTTTGTTTTAATTCCTTTTTCTTTTGTATTTTTAACTTAATTGCTTATGGAAAGAGAATATGGCTTGAACTCTGATAATTGTTTAGATTTGTTTTTTGTCGCCAGATAGAAACAATTTTTATGAATATCTCTAAAAATACTATTTGTATACTCCTTTTTAAAAAAGGTATAAATTGCCCTGGCCAGTTTAGCTCAGCGGTTAGAGCGTCGGCCTGCGGTCCCGAGAGACCCGGGTTCGGTTCCCGCTAAGGGCACGTACCTCGGTTGCAGTTTGTCCCCGGCCCTGGTTGGTCGTGCGGGTGGCAGCCACTCGATGTGTTCCTTCACGTCGATGTTTCTCTCTCTCTCTCCCTTCCTCTCTCTCCCTCCCACTCTATCTGTACAAAAAATGGAAAAATGTCTCCGGGTGAGGATAAAAAAAATAAAATAAAATAAAAATAAAAATAAAAAAGGTATAAATGACCCGGCCGGTGTGGCTCAGTGGTTGAGCATCGACCCATGCATCAAGAGATCGCAGTTTCGGTTCCTGGTCAGGGCACATGCCCAGGATGTGGGCCAAATCCCCAGTCAGGGGCATGCTGGAGGCGGCCAATTAATGTTCTCTCTCATCTATGTTTCTATCTCTATCTCCCTTTCCCTTCCTCTCTCTCTAAAATCAATAAAGAAAAAAAAAAAAAAGATATAAATGGCCCACCCAGTATGGCTCGGTGGATTGAGTGTCATCCCATGGACTGAGAAGTCCCAATTTGATTCTAGGTCAGAGCACATGCCCGGGTTGTGGGAGACGTGCAGGAGGCAGCTGATTCTCTCTCACATCGATGTTTCTCTCTCTCTCTCCCTTCCCTTCTCTCTAAAAAAATCAATGAAAATATATTTTTTAAAAAGGTATAAATGGAGCTGAATTGGATAATATAAAGACCAACAAATTGAGACACCTTAAAATATCTGAGGGTAAAATTAAGATACCTAGGAATAAACTTAACCAAAGAAGTAAAGGACCTATTCACAGAAAACTATAAGTCACTGAAAAAAGAAATAGAGGAAGATATAAAAAAGTGGAAGCATATACCTTGTCCATGGGTTGAAAAAATCAACATTAAAATGTCCATACTATCCAAAGCAATCTATAGATTCAATGCAATCCCCATCAAAATACCGACGACATATTTCACAGAACAAATACTTCAAAAGTTTATATGGAACCAAAAAAAGACCCCTAATAACCACAGCAATCTTGAAAAAGAAGAACAAAGTAGGAGGGATCACAATACTGGATATCAGGTTATACTACATAGCCATTGTAATCAAAACAGCCTGGTACTGGCACAGGAACAGACATATAGATCAATGGAACAGCACAGAGAACCCAGAAATTGACCCAAGTCATTATGCTCAATTTATATATATGCATATATATTTATATATATATAAATACATATATATATGTGTGTGTGTGTGTGTGTGTATATATACATATATATTTATCCTCACAAGAGGACATTTTTGCATTTATCTTCAGATACAGTGGGAGAGAGAGAGAAACATCAATGTGTGAGAGGCACACCAACTGGCTGCCACTCACCCGACCCCAACTGGGGCTGTGCACAAACTGCAAGCAAGATACATACCCTTAGCGGGAATTGAACCTGGGACTCTCTGGTCTGCAGGCTGACACTCTAACCGCTGAGCCAAACCAGCCAGGGCATGCTCAATTAATATTTGACAAAGGTGGCAAGAGCATACAGTGGAGTGAAGATAGCGTCTTCAATAAATGGTGTTGGGAAAACTGAACAGCTACATGCAAAAAAAATGAAGCTAGACAACCAACTTACACCATACATAAGAATAAACTCAAAATGGATAAAAGACTTAAATGTGACTTGTGAATCCATAAAAATCCTAGAAGAAAATGTAGGCAACAAAATTTCAGACATCACATGCAGCAGAATTTCCATTGATACAACGCCTAAGGCAAGAAAAACAAAGGAAAAAATGAACACATGGGACTACATCAAACTAAAAAGCTTCTGCACAGCAAAAGAAACAAGCATCAAAAGGGAAAGGAAAACCACTATATGGGAGAGCATGATTGCCAGTACAATACATCAGATAAGGGGTTAATTTCCAAAATGCATAGAGTACTCCTACAACTCAACAAAAGGAAGACAAAGAATCCAATTAAAAATTGGGCAGCCCTGGCCGGTTTGGCTCAGCGGTTAGCACATCAGCCTGCGGTCCACAGAGACCCGGGTTCGGTTCCCGCTAAGGGCATGTACCTGGCTGCAGTTTGTCCCCGGCCCTGGTTGGGTCGTGTGGGTGGTGGCCACTCGATGTGTCCCTTTCACATCGATGTTTCTCTCCCTTCCTCTCTCTCCTTCCCGCTCTATCTGAGTAAAAAATGGAAAAATGTCCTCGGGTGAGGATAAAAAAAAAAAAAAAATTGGGCAGAGGACCTAAATAGACACTTCTCCAAACAGGACATACAAATGGCCAAGAGACATATGAAAAAATGCTCAAAGTCACTAATCATCAGAGACATGCAAATTAAAACAACTATGAGGTATCACCTCATACCTGCCAGAAAGGCTGCCATCAACAAATCAAACAAGTGCTGGCGAGGGTGTGGAGAAAAGGGGACTCTAGTATACTGCTGGTGGGAATGCAGACTGGTGCAGCCACTATGGAAAACAATATGGTGTTTCCTCAAAAAATTAAAAATTGAAGTGCCATTTGACTCAGTGATCCCACTTCTAGGAATATACCCTAAGAAGCCTAAAACACCAATCAGAAAGAATATATGTATGCCTATGTTCATAGCAGCACTATTTACAACTACTAAGATCTGGAAACAGCCCAAGTGTTCATAGATAGATGAATGGATAAAAAAGCTGTGATACATATACACAATGGAATACTATGTAGCTATAAGAAAGAAAGATCTCTTATCCTTTGAGATGACATAAAGGGACCTGAAGAGTATTATCCTAAGTGAAACAAGCTAATCAGAGAAAGACAAATACCACATGATCTCACTTATTTGTGGAATATAATGAACAAAACAAGCTGATGAACAAAATAGACCCAGAGACATAGATGTAAGGTACGGACCGACAAACCTCAGAAGAGGGGAACGGAGTGGGGGTGGGGAGGAAATAAACCACAGAACTTATATGCATGTATGCATAACCATGGACATAGACAACAACGCTGGGGGGGGGGGCTGAGATTGGGAGGAGGGTGTCAATGGGGGAAAAAGGAGAAACATCTGTAACAACAAAAATAATAATAATAAAAATTAATTAATTAAAAAGCAAAAAATTGAGGGTAGCTCGGCCGGTGTGGCTCAGTGGATTGAGTGTCGTCCCATGCACAGAGAGGTCGCTGGTTCAATTCCTGGTCAGGGCACATGCCCAGGTTGTGGGCTCGATCCCCAGTGTGGGGAGTGCAGGAGGCAGCCAATGGATATTTCTCACTCATTGATGTTTCTCTCTCTTTTCCCACTCACTCCCTTCCTTGCTATATAAAAAATCAATAAATATATATTTTAAAAATAATTTTAAAAATCTGAGGGTATGATAATTCAATAATAGGCAAAGAGGGACTGGATACACTGGCAGTTGATGCATGAGATGTGGTGAGGGGGAGGAAATAGAATTGGGACAAGATTAGAGAAAGCAGTGTAACACTGAGAAGCTCATTCAGAAAAATGTCCGCTTTCTCCTCTGAGCTAGGCTCAACTTCTCTGTGTTTCCCAATCTGAAAATGTAAATAATATTAGTATTTATCCCACAGGTTGTGAGAAGTAAATAAGTTCATTCAAACGTGGTGCTAAAAAATGTTAACCATTATTATTAGGATTAATATGACAAACATTTTCCCTTGATGCCAGAAGAACTGTCTTTAGTAAAATCCCCTATGTTTCCCACGGCAGATACAAGGCTTTATCTTTTCCAAGTTACGTCACTACCTAAAAGGGTCAAAGCTAAGAGAAGGCATCCTAGGGGCAGTAGAAGAAAGCATGGTCTTCTACCATACAGATATTCTTTCATTCCTTCCTTCATTCAAACATTGACTCTGTAACTGAGTAACTAACTTAGTAACTAAGTTTTGGCCACTGGCACAACTCTGCAATCAGTCCTGCATAGATGTGTGGAGAGTGTCTTAGCTACTCCATACAGATGCGCAGGGGATCCCGGCCTCTAGATCTAGTGTCCAGAAGTCCCAATTCTTCCTTACCCAGGAGCAGAAGGGCCTTTCACAGAGCGGATGTACAGAGGGCCGGCCCGGTGCAGTTGTGCGGTCACACTAGGTCCGGTACAAATGAGCAGAGTGGAGACCTCCTGTGCAGATCGGTAAGGAAGCGTCTTGCTTCCCGCACCGCCCCTGCCCTTTTCCCGAGAGACCCCGCAGAACCTGCTTGGTCTCCACGTTGCACCTTAATACCTCGCACTAAAGGGGTCGAGCTGGGGCAACGGCCTTGAGCAGCTGGGTCTAGGCGTTCCAGACCTGAGCGCAGGGGCCCGCGGGAGCGCTTACCCTTCGTCGGTTCTCTGCCACTGGTGTCTCCGCTCGCTGCCGTGTCGCCGCTCCGGCCGCAGACCCGAGACCCGGGCCAAGAAGGGGGCGCCCCACACTCTCCTCTCCCCGAGGAAACCTCCGCCGGCACCGCGTTTTCAAATTAGCCGGCTCGGCTCGTCCGCGCTTCCCATTGGTCGCCGCCCTGATCTCTGATTGGCTGTTTCCTAAGTAACAAAGTACCTGAGGCGGCGGGCTTTGTCAATGGTGCGCTTGCGCACTTCCTGTAACTGCCAGCTAGAGGTTTGGAGGCAGTCTGCGAGGCTGGACCGACTAGACTGACCCGCAGACACCTGCACGGGATTGAGTTCGGGTGGAGGGGGGCACGGTCCGCCACTGTCGTCCCTCGGACTGGGTTTATCACCAATTGCAGCAACCAGACTTCAAACCCGTTTTCAAACCTGCTTTTTCTGTGGGCATCCGCTTATCCAAACCACTGTCCAGGATCTCTTCTCGCCCCTCGACCATCCCAAGAGTAAATTTCGAGAGCAGCCTTGATGTGGAAAAGCCGGTGGAGGCAGAGAATGGCGATTCCACCCGCTTAGTTTTGACAGTGCCAGGAGTGTCATGGACTGATTGTTGAATGGGTCGGCCCCTTAGGGCATCACTGGGCAGCCCTGTCTCCTTCTCCACAGCCACTCGCTGCCTGGATTCTGGTGGGCCAACCTCATGCTGATACCCAACACCTGAAGTTGTGGGGGTCGAAGAGAGCCTTGCCTGATTCCAATCACTAGTGGTTGAATGTCAGTTTACTAATCTATAAAATGGGGCAAATATCCCGCCCTTCCCACTTACCTAGAAGAGCATGATGAGAAAGTCCTCCAAATGCCCTGCATATGTATAGGGACAGCTTTCTATGACTCTTATTAGGGTGAAATAGGTGATGGCTGCCAGCAGCCAGTTGCTCATCACTTTCATTAAACTGATCTGTTCCCACACATGAGCAGGTCTGAGGTATGCAAGAAACCAAGAGCCAAAATTCCCTCAGTGGACCTGCCATCAAGATAGTAGAGTCACAACCCTGGCCGCATAGCCCAGATCATGCAGATATGCCAAGATTGTAGGTTCCATCCCACATACAAAAATCAACCAATAAATGCATAAATAAATGGAACAACAAATCGATGTTTCTCTCTCTCTCTCTCTCTCACCAATACAATTATTAAAATTAATTTTTAAGAGATAGTAGAGTCATTATTTGATACCTGGTTGATTTGGCCCAAACTCTTCATTAACCTACCTGGACCTCAACTGCCCTCTCTGTTTAATGGGATAACACTGCAGGTCCAGTGAGAATAAAATGAGAAAACTATGCACAGTTCTGTTATTGTAAAGCTACAAGAAAACCAAGGTATTCTTGCCATCTCCACTACCCAAGAGAAATGAAACTTCAAGAATGGCTTTCAGAGGTTTGGGGCTGTAGGGCAGGCTTGGAGTCTTCAGAAGCCTCCAGGGGAAGAGGTGCCTCTTCTGTTCTGTAAGCCAGGTCTTGCCCTGGTCCAGTTCTGGTTTGGACAATTAGCTGGAGGAGGTGAGGTGAGTCAGGGTGAGGCAACAAGCAGAGACTGACCCTGTGCTCAGAGGGAAGTGACATGCAAGTTGAGGTCTGAAGGCAGATTGGAGCTAGTTTGGCAAAGGGGGCTATTCCCTGGCTCTCAGAAGCCAAGGGAAAAAAATTTTTCAGATGAATCACTGAGCCCATGATGCTGAGAGGCCTTTGTAGGGCCTGGTTGGGCCCACTTTAATAGACACAAATGGAAAACCCTTGGACTCTACACCACATATGCTGCTAAGAGGAGATTGATCTGGCACTGGCCCGAAAAGAATTTCAAGGCCTAAAACCCAGACGTGAGGGTCAGGTGCTTTGTATGGTGGCAGAAGATGTTTCTGGGCTGATATGAGTAGGGGTGTGAAAAGCAACAGGCTCTATGCTCTTGTGGGCTCTGTGGATATCTCACTATTTGTATCAAGCAAGACAGCACATCCTTTCGCCTGCACTCTATCACTGCACACACTTAGCACCTAGATGTGGCATTAGCTGTTTCAGATAAAGACTAATTTTAAAAGAAACTTGAACCAGCCCAGCCAGTGTGGCTAAGTGGATAGAGTGTTGTCCCAGTGGACTGAAAGGTCCTGGTTTGATTCCCGGTCAGATCATATGCCTGGTTTCAGGCTGAATCCCTGGAAATGGGGCATGTAGGAGGCAGCCAGTTGATGTTTCTCTCTCAAATCGATGTTTCTCTCTCTCTCCCTTCCTCTTTCTAAAAAATCAATTAAAAAACATATTTTAAAAAGGTCATTGAACCAAATCTAAGACATCATTCTTGCCATCCTTAAATGTGAGCCAGACTTTAAGATCTGGCCTGGCACAGAAGCCAAGCATGATGAAGATGGAAAAGTATCCACTCTGTTTGTCCACAAGGAGGTCACAGGTGGCCTTGGCAGAAGCAGTTTCAGAGGAGTGGCAGCAACCAGGTCACAGAAGGAGGTGAGAAAATAGTCACACAACTCTTTTAAATCAACTGACTGTCAAAGGGAGTAGAGAAAGGAGGTAAGTAGCTGGATTTGGGGTCAAAGGAGGATTTTTAAGAATAGGAGAGATTTAAATGATGATGGGCAGGAGCTGGTATAGAGTGAACAATTGAAGATTAATAGAGAGCTGTGATTGTCAATTACATGAAGTCCCCCAAGAAGATGAGAGGTGGAGTGGTCAACAATCTCACTTTTCCCAGCTGGGACTAAGGGGTTTACCAGAATGTGGGACTTTCAGTTTATAAACCTGAATAGTCCTGGGCAAACAAGGATAGATTCGTCATACTGGTGAGAGGGAATGGATGTGGAACACAGTGGCAGGCTGGACTTTGGAAGGGGACACAGCTTCTCCATGAAGGCAAAAAGGAGGAGAGGGGGGTATAGATTCAGGGAAGTTTGTGGATTTTATGGTACAAGTTGATTGAGTCTCCTTCTTGTAGCTTCTGACTTTTCTGGGAGGTAGGAGATATGATCACCCTTTGTACAGTTAGCTTCACACTCCATCTGCTGCCTTTGTTGCTGGGCTGAAATATAATAGGTACTCAATAAAATCCATGGAAAGAATCAATAAATGAATGAGACTGGGGGGAGATGTTGCAGGTTGGGTACTCTTAGAAGCAGCCACTGAGATCAGTGTTCAGAAAGTTTATTGGAGAATGCTCCTAGAATTAACACCTGTGGAAGGGAAGGAAAGGAAGCAGGATTGGGCATAGCTGGGAGCTGGGAGCTCTGAAGCTGGGAAAATTCTTCAAAGTTGTCCTGAGTTTAAACTCCCATCTTGACCAGTCATTGGAAACAAGAAAGGGACAGGATGTTGCGCAAGGCTGCTCACATCAGCAGAGGCAATCCTCGGAGGGGGTTGGTAGCCAAGAGCCATCTGCTGGCAGCACTTCCAGCAGCTGGGAGAGTAGATCCTCAGTCCTGGAAGAGACCTAGGCAGTGCCTCACAGCATCCATCACAGGAGGTGGAAGTTTATGGGGAGTGAGAGAAATTTGAAATAGCTACTATTGTGGTAGTAGAATGGTTATTGTGTGGCAGGCACATGTTAGGTACTGAGTAAGCCATTGCCCTACTTGGAGGAAGCTCTCAGTATGACCTTGGAGACAAGTAGATAGATGAGTGCAGGGGGAGTCCAGGAAGGTTTCATAGAAGAGCAGGCAAGGGTCCTGGGCTTTGAATAATGAGCAGGTGTTCTCTGCAGGCCTAGGGCCTAGGCCCCTAGCAGAACCATTCCTGGCTCTGGGCAGGCAGGGAGTGGTCTGTAACTCTCCTGGCCTAGACAGTTGTCCTAGTCCAGGCTGGGGCTCGTCACTCAGGGAACAAAGGGGCCTGTGCCCTGGGGGCCTGGGAAGGAACACTTGAATTTGCTCTTCATTTGGAAAAGGCAGGAGCCCCACCCCTGCACAAGCTGCCTGTGCAGCAGACATTGTCGGAAGGGGTGTGTCTGTGACTTAGGGGAGGAAAGACTGCTCTGGCAGGGAGGTAGTGAGATTCTACCCTTCTACTCTGGGGTATAGCCAATCAAGAGGGCTATTCCCAGAAAGAGTAAGTCATGCGATCTTGGGTAAATTAATTCACCTCTCTGTACCTCAGTTTTCTCATCCAAAAAATGGGTGTGACAATAGTAACTACCTTGTGGGGTCATTGTGAGGTTGAAATGGAATAGTGCATGGTACATAAGCTACTGTTATAACTTAGCTGTTGATACAGAGATGAGAGTACATGTTATTCCTCCAGCTCCACTGTTCCCTAAGCCCTTGGACAAGAGAAGAGAAAACCCTCAGCTGCCAGGGTTCTACTGCCCACTGCATCCCCAAAGGGACAGTTTCAGCAACAACATGGGGAGTTACAGCGGGTGGGGAGAGGCTCAGGTTTTGGAGGGATATATGCTTATCGTAAAACCTTTCAAAACAGCCTGGCTGGTGTGACTCAGTGCTTGAGTGTCGACCCATGCACCCAGAGGTCACCGGTTTGATTCCTGGTCAGGGCACATGCCCAGGTTGTGGGCCTGATTCCCAGTGGGGGGCATGCAGGAGGCGGCCAATCGATGTTCTCTCTCATCAATGTTTCTATCTCTCTCTCCCTTTCCCTTACTCTCTCTCTAAAATCAATAAAGAAAAAAAAACCTTTCAAAACATTATAGAAGTAAAAAAATATATAAGCTTCCACTTACTCGAGCTCCCTCCGAAGTAACCCTTTTTAAGAGACTGGGAAGCCTTCCCTGCCCCTCTAATAGCACCATGTCCTGGATGTATCTGTGTGATCCCTGTGGGTATCATGAAGCTCTGGGGGGTTTCCTACCCATCTCTGGATCCTCCACGCCAAGTTAGAGCCTGGTGTGTTGGAGGTGGTTAATAACACTGAAGTGAAGCAGAGCAAATAGAAACAGGAACTGACACATGGGCCAGGGCCTCAGGGTTATTCTGTGCTCTTACTCCAAATTGGAGGCCACAGAGCAGAAGGGTGGGAAAATCCACATGGGAGACCGGACTCAGGGCACTCCATTCTCAGTACTTACTACACATCCTGGGTACCCTAAA